TGGGCAATGGTTGACAATGACACTGCGTTGCTTTTCAACACAAAGGGAAATAAAAGTACACTCTTGAAAATCCTGAAACTTGCTCTAATGATACATTGCTTCCTATGTATTGCTCCCATTCAGCAGGCTCTGGGCAGACAGGTTGTCTGTTTGCTAAATCCACCCAATAGTGTTTCTTTATGCAGGCTGCCAAACGAAGCTCAGCCATCTTTGGAGAACAGTGATGTTACGTTATGAATTGTTGTCCCCACGGAGTGCAGATCCCCGTTCTGTCACTCCACTCCACCCCTCCTATGTCTGATGTCCAGTGTGATGGGATAGCAGAGGTGCCAGGTGACAATATGTAGGGTCCACTAGGCAGCTTTCCCAGGCGTGGACTTGCATCCCAGCTTGATTTCTTTGGACTTGTGTTACTTGACTTCCATGGTCTGTGCTTTCCAATCTTCTGATTCCTCATCAATCAAATGTGGACAATTTGTATCTTACCTCAGAGTCACATGAGGAATAACTATGATGATATTTATTAACATGCCAAGCTTAGAATGTCTTGTAACATGCGTCAGTTACTTTCGTCCATGTCTCATCCAAACAGAGAAGCAAAGCAACCTAAGGAAGAAAGGGTTCCTTTGGCTCACAGTTTGAGGATACAGTTCATCATGGTTGGGAACGTCAGGTTAGAGGGACCTTGAGGAGACTTGGTCATATGCGTCAGTAAGCAGCCTGCAGAGAATGGTGGCAATTGCTGCTCAGGTCCCTTTCTCCTTCCCTCTACTCCACAACCACATGAAATGGTGCCACCCGCGCTTAGGTGTGTCTTCAAACCTCAATTGCCCTAATCAAGAGAACCCCTCACAAACATTGACAAAGGAAATTTCAGTCTAGGTAACTCCACAGTTTTTCAGATACTTCCCTTCTAGGTGATTCTAGATGCTGTCAGCTTGACGATAATAACCATTACAAATGACTTTTCAAAAGAAAATGCTCGGAAATCTCTATCTTTGTGCCAGAATGCAGTCCTGAGAAACACCTCAAGTGCTCAGGAATGTTTCCTTGCAGGTTGCCCTTCGTGGTTTTCTTAATGAATGATTCTCAGCACGAATAAATCTTCTGCTGCCCCACGACAAAACTCAACCTAAAATATACACAGGGAAGGAGTTATCAGGAATCCCAGGGACCTTACTGTCCGTTGAAGCATTCTGTTGTGAATATATTTATTCTGAGAAAGAAGGAAAGAAGGGTTTGTGTTTACTCTATTCTTTGGGCTCACCCTATTCATAGCACTTTGGCAAAGAGCAAGGTTGAAGCTAAACAATGGCAACAGAAGAATCCATGCTTAAGGACTGATATGTGTGTATAGCCAGATGTACACATCTATAGCTCTGGAATATGTAAATAAAGGCGGAACAATTTGTGGGTGTATGGTTTGCTTACCTTCAGGATAACAACCTGGAGACGGATGCCAGAGATGTGGGAGAAAATACAAAGGAAGGAGCTATTTTTCAAGATCTGAGAATCTTTTTCTTAAGATTGATTTACATAGGTTGTAACCCGTGTGGAGGCACCAATCCCTTCATGCAGTAACACTCCAGAACTGTCAAGGTATTTAACAAAAGCCTGTTTGCAATCAACCCTTCCCCTTGTCACTGAGGATGCTCAACATTCTGCTGCAAGCGAAGCGATACAAAATGAACCTTTTTTCCCCCCAGTGGTCTGTGGCCATTGCTGTTAGTGCAAGTGACCAGCAAGGCAATGAGACTTTGCATTCTTATTTGCAGATTTAGAGATACAGGGCAAAACAAAGGTGGGACCTGGGAGTGGTAGTAGCTGGGAGGGATGGTGCACAGGGCTTGCCTGCTTCCCTGAAGCACTTCCTCTCAGAGGGAGAACTTGGAGGCCTCTGAAAGTGTTGGTCTTTCCCTCTGCCACTCAGGACAATAGGAGGCACAAATCTGAATGAAGTCAGCAGAGGCCTGCATTGAAAACCTAACTCTGCATTCTGAGATAGTTATGGCCCCTGTGGAACAACGTAAGTCTCGGAGTCTCTGGTTCTTTAAGATTTCATGACAGAAGGAAAGCAGCAGCGGGGATCTTCTTGTTTGTGAACACACACAAGCCTCCAGTCCAGAGGAGGCACAACAGGGTTAAGGTGACAACAGCTCTCTGACTCTCCCTGCAACCCCAGACAACTCTGAGGTCCTGAAGTTAGATGCACTTCATATTCCACCTGTCCACTGAATCATAAGATGTATGGCAAATGGGTTTGGAGAAAAAAGGGAGACGGGGTGGGGGGAGTGGAGGAGATGCTGTGGGGTGAGATTAGTGTGCCTGTCCCGTATCTTCAGGGTTTCCAATCCAATACCTCAGCCTTCATTGGACCATTTGGTTTCTTCATCTATCAAATGGAGTATTAGCACCCATGCAGAATTGTAGATAAGTTACCTTAATGCATGCCTTACTAATGTTTATTATATCGGATTGTTTATCTCTGTATTTTCTATAATGCCCTCATGAATTTACTTCTTTATTTCCCATAAGCCCCTTCCATGTACCTTGATTAGCTATTGAGTAACAGGAGCAGTGTGGCCTGGGCCTAGACCCTGTGGGCGTTAGCACCAGGTAGATCTGAGTGACAGACCTTCTGTATCACATACTTGGATGGAGACAACCTGCTCAATGTCTCTCAACATACTCATCTGTTAGATCGAAATGAAAAAGAAAATGTTCCTACTTCAGGAATGATTTCTCTTCTGTGAGTAGCGTCGTGGTTGTGGGGGATGGCATCGGCCATCTTCTGGAGCAGAAGGGAGAATAAAAGTTGTCTCGTTCCTTCCCACATGAAGCTTACAGTCTGGAGAGTTGGTGCTCTCTAGAACTTGAGAGATACATCACATTACAAGCGAAGAATTGCACCTACAGGAAAATTGTGAAAGGAAACATACGTGAAACCAAGAAAACTTATAATAAGGGAGATTTGCCCAAGCCAGAGAGATCACAGGTCCCTGCAGAGCATGGAGGCTAGACACCAGATTTCCAGATGAATACGAAGAGGGAAAGAGATTCCTAACAAGCAGGCTCTCTGCCTATGCCCCTCATTAGCATCCCAAGCATATGATCCCCTTCTTGCTAGAATGTGAACTCAAAGATTGTGGGCAGGGTGTCTGTCATCTTCTGTCACCTCTAAGACAGAGCCTTGAAAAGAGCAAATGCTGGTAGAAAGTCACCGTGTTTGCTGAATGAAATTAAAATACTATGTCTGCGTCTCACGGCTTTGTCCGGGATGCAATTAGGAAAGAAACGTATTTCAGTCGAAAGAGCATGGACCTTGGGTTGTTGCAAGCCACATCCCCATTCCTGTCGTCTAAAGAAGGTAGCACACCCTCACTGTGATTTGGTCCCCTCTCGTGTACAGTGTGGGGAAGGACTCACTGTCCTCAGCCAAGCCATAAGTAGCATTCATGCCATTGCTATGAAAACATTGGCAAAAATCAGGCATGTGGTTTTTCAAGGTCTCTGGGTTGTTGAAGGCCAGCCAGGTGCAGCTTAGGGGCCAGAGGATGCTATCACCCGCTTTCCACCAGGCCTTTCCCTCGGTGAAAATGCCCAGGGCTGATACACCTGCTGTGTTCTGTCTCCGGTAGCCCAGTCGGACCCTGAGTTTAAATTTAGGAAGCATCGGTTGTAGTTGACTGGCATTTGGTATAGTATACTGGGGCCCCATTTCCATTTGAGTTAACAGTACAGTTTCTGGATAGAATAAAATCAAATAATTCATGGTCAGCACACAGCATAAACCTGCACATGGCAACTAGGCAGTATACATTTAGCTGTTGTTACTAGTAAAACTGCCAGGCCCTGCTGGGGTGTTTTTTTTTTCCTGTTTTTTTTTTTTTTTCCTCCCAATTATTCCAAAAATGAACCAGCCGTTTCTTTTGGAATTCTCTCTCTGAAAGATAGAAAAGAAACTGCTTTCTGATGCTTGGAAGTCTTGCTTCCCTATTTCCGCGCGCCCTTGGGGGCAGGTTTGGGGCCACCGCCTGGCAATCCAGGGGAGGTAGGTCTGCAGCTGGGCAGGCTCAGGAAACCCTGCCTTCCCTAGGCTTTGCCCTCTCTGCTGCGCTCTGCATTCCTAACCCTGGGAGGAACCGGCTGGGTCTAGCCAAGCACTGGGCATGCTCGCGAGCCCGGGCAGGCTCCGGTCGTCGGTAGGATGCGTAGACTGGCGATGCTCCCTAGTTCTCAGAGCCCTGGGTGCAGCCGTGGTGCATCGGGTTTAGCAGAGCAGAGTTCTCGGTGCGTGCAGCTAGGGAAGCGGGCCTGCCCGGGACAAGCCCGGAGCGGAACTGAACTCTACGCGGCCCCGGCTTGGCGCGCTCAGTTTCTGCTCTTGGAAACGCCCGGCTGGAAGGAGGGGGGGGGGATGTCTCTGCAGACAAAGGGGTACACGTGCCCCTAGCGCCCCTTTTTCCCAGCCGAGAGCCCCTCCCGGAGCTCGCTACCCTGTAGCCCCAAAGGCACCAACGCAGCTGGTGCTACCCGGGCCTGTGCGCGCGCTCGGGGCCCGGGATTGGCTCTCACTTCCCACGGAGGGACAGCGCGGGAGGGCGGGCGGGCGGGCGGTGAGCGGAGCTCCGCGCCTCTGTGTGCGCGTGTGGTGTGTGCGCGTGTGTTTGCATGTGTGTGTGTGTGTGCGCGCGCGCGCTCGCGCGCGTGTGCATATGTGTGTGCGCGCGTGTGTGTCTGTGCGGCGCGCGGGCGGGCGCGTGTGTGCGCGTGCAGGAGCCACTGGGTGTGCGTTGCGTGTGTTATGGGTTTGATTCCAGAGCAGGTTGCACATTGGTCCTGGGTGGCTCGCAGGCTCAGGTCGTGCTTGGGCGTCCTCCTCCTAATCGTTTCTGAAGTAGCAGTTCCAGCAGCAGCAACAGCAGCAGCAGCGGCAGCCGCGGCAGCAGCGGCAGCGGCGCCTCCGCAGCAAAGCCTGAACTGTGCAGAAGCAACGAGCACCGTTTGGGGAGTCTGGGGGGCGGGTAAGAGGGAGGAGGGAGAAAGCCTGGCTAGGTCTTTGGGATTATTTTTTTTCCCCTTCTTTCCCTCTCTCTCTTTCTGGAGGGTGTGTGTTGCCCCCTCGAAGTGAAGGAATTTTGCTCCAAAGCGAGCTGGGACCGAAGACTCTAGGCTAAGTTCTCTCTCTATGTAGATGGTGTCAGGGAGCGAAGCTACTGACCGAGCTGCTGGTAAATGTTTTTCACTTCTTACTCTTTAATGCTTAAGGCTTTTTCCCCCTCTTTTTTTTCTTTCTTCCCCGTTTCCCTTCTGTTACTCATCATTCTGCAATCGCTCCTGAATCGCTGCAGTTTTCTCTCCCTCGCCTTGCGTTTGTGCAGTTTGCAACTTGTTTCATGGTTTTCTGTGTATTTTTTTTTCTCCCTTCATCCTCAGATGAATGCTGGAACATTTAAATTCGGCACTTCGGGAGGTCATCATTAGTTGCATGAGTTTGGGGGGTGGGGAGGGGAAAGATTGGTAGAGCCGGCTGTTATTTCCCTGCAGAAGGACTTGCCGCTTTCTCGCTAATGTTCATCGCAATTATAGGGATTCTTTTAGGATTCATTTTAACATTGCATTGATGTTTAAGGTTATCGCTCTCCAGGATTACAATGCGTTTTGACTCAGTTTTAACAGCATGACCGATGCCAGTGTTTCCAGACCTACTGTACGGTACACGCTGGCTAAAATACTCAGAATTGCAGGAAGAATCCTTTGCATTCCGAAAGAGAATTTCTTTAAAAAAAAATGCTGTTTTGCATTACATTGCTGCAGATTTGCAGGAAGCAATAATAGACACGGCTTTTCATGTGGCTTGCAAAGATAATCAACAGATAAGTGGCTCAGTGCATCCTTCTCTCCACTGACTGAGCTATGGCTAAATTTACTTAATAATAAATTTAGGGTTTTCAAGAAGCAGGGAGCCTGCTGGTATTGTTTTATTCAAAATTGTGAGACATACAGAGCTTGCTAACCTCAGACCAGCCCTTGCTCAGCTCTTACTTGAAGTGGCATCTTGTCAATTGGGGAGAGGGAGAGCGGTTTCTGCTATACACATGGAATGAAATTGTTTCAAATAGCCAGCATAATACATGCAAATTGGACCCTTCCTTTTTCTTAAAAACAGAATTCACTCCATCACCCTTGCTGCCAGGATCCATTTTAAACATTATTTTTAATATCACATATAATAGTTCTTTAATGCCATCGAATAATTTGAGTTCTTTAGAGGGTTCTGGGTAGTTATGATATTTCATTTGTCCTTTTTTTGTTCCTCAAGTTTTCAGTTCCAGTTCAGTAGAAAAACTGAAGGGTCAATAAGTAAAGGCAAATCAGCGGCTGAGAAGGAAATGGGTTTAGGGTTGGAAAATTTTCTGCTAAGCCGTGTAGAAATGAGCTGGTGGTGTGTGGAAGCTGAGAGGTAGAGAGGAGGGCTGTGCCTGCTCACTGTCACCTCCAAATGCACAGGGATCTAAACTCAGATGAGGAGACCCAGGCTAGCAAGGCTCCAAGGAGGCACAGGAGTTGTCCAACGGGGAGAATATTATTCTCTAAAGAAGACTGCCTCCGCTGTACGCTCCTCACCCCAAGAGTAGCAGCCTGCCTAGGTGTGGGGAGCATGGTTTGCAGGAATGCTGTTAAACTTTGCTTCAGTATAAACTTAGCTGGTGTTGGAAGAACTGCAGAAGGCAGCCTAGTGTATTCAGGGCTAAAGAATAAAACCAGCTGTGAATTAGTTCAACTAGTGAGGCTTCTGTTTTAGGTTAGAGCAAATCTACCTTAAACCACCCTGCAGATTCACCTGCTCTGTTTCCCCTTGGGTTGACAAAAGTCATCCTTAAAACTCCTGAGATCTAAACCTTATTTCTGCCTTTGTATCCTACTAATAAAACAACGAGGCATCTTATTTGGAAAGAGAGCTCTGTTTATTCAGGACTCTCTTGAGATGGCAATATTGCCATTATACAATATTTTCATGGACCCTTGAGTTTACCATTTTGATTAAATTGGAGGAGAAAAACACTCCACTTCCATTCATTTAGAACAGTTTTTGACTGAAGGATGTGCTTGTATGAATCATAAAGAAACAAAAATGTATTCACATAGTTACCACCAGTCTTCTGAACCCAAGGCATCCAAAACATCTTAGCATTCCTGTTCAAGGACCAAACTCAGGGCAGTGCACCTCATGCTGAGAACTACAGAGCTAGTCCACAACATCCACAGGCATGGGCACTAAGAGCTGACCATGTTGAGGACTCTTGATGGGCCCATGGTGCAAACATGGCATTGGTACATATTCAAACCACACCTTTATATACAAATACTGCAGTTAACTTCCCTTTCAGCATCTTCACTACAGAGGAAGAGTAGGAAGGACTCTGATTATTTAAGGAACACATTTCTTTCCTGCTGAGGTTGTTTTTCTGTTTTGTTTTGTTTTGTTTTTCTCCACCCCACCCCTCTGTTGACTTCTAGTTTCCTGGCAACTTCTAAAAAAGCTCTGATACTTTGTGTTAAAATATTCAACACATCCATGTTTTCAACTCAATGGCAGGCTATACTACGTTCAATTGACTGGGATTTGCATTACTCTAGCGTGTTTCTCCGTGGTAGCATGTCTGCGGCTTGTTGGCATGGTTGATGGGTTTCTTATGATCATTAAGTTTATTATTAAATCTTCACTAAGAGCCTTTAGCTGGTGTGCCTGATGTTGAGTTCAGATTAATGTATCAAAATAATGGTGTCATCTTGATGGGCTTGTTGGTGAATTAGAGAGCTCACTTTCAATTGGCATTCCTGTGGCATTTCAGCACAGGCAGAAAGCCTTGCACGTCCTGGAGAAAGTCACTTCTTTTTGGCCAGAGGGCTGTGTAGAAAGGCAGGTGTCTGAGACTGGGGATTTACAGACCTTGATGATCATGTCTCATTCTATTGTTAGAGTCCCTGTTTTCATCTTTATAGGAATGGAGGTTTCTCTGCATGTCCAAAGTGTAGCTTTTGCTAGACCTACTGGAAGTTTCTAAGAATTAATTGTCATTCCCTTTCCTTGAGTAAGTGACAGGAACTCTGAGCTACGTGTGTGCTTTTCAGGAGGATCTGCTTCGCCTAACTCCTTCAAAGATTTTCCTTTTGTGCAGACTGATTTTAAGAAGTGATTTCTGCTGAAATATCATCAAGGTCATTTCCAAGGGCTTTTAAAAAAAAAAAAACTCTCCCCACCTGAGGGCTGAAAGTTAAACTCATAGTGAGATTTGGAGAGGGGAAACTTACTAGCAAAATGCTTACCTCACAAACGACTGTGGACAAACCTTTTTTTTTTTTTTCCCTTCATGACTTTGCATGGAGCAACAGTTTTGTTCTTTGATCTGCTGCTGACTCTTGGTAGCCCTGATGTGTTCACGTTCTCCATCCCACACTCCAAAGAGGTGGGGCAGACCTCTATCCAGCAAACAGCACCTAAATACTTGCGCCTTTAAAAGGTATTTTTAGTAAAAAGTTAGGTGATGTTATTTGGTTAAATGAGATAAATTGTGTAAGCAGGGAATACTGCATTTCATGTTTTTTTTAACATATCAATAATTTTATAGAATTTCTTCTGCTGAGAGTAAATAGCAGCTTTGCTAAAGTCTTCTTCATATATCTGGGTTTTAGTTTGATTTATTAAAGGAACAGTCACATTGTTCAGTTGTATGTACAAGCAGCACCATACAGTTATTTTTACTGTCTTGGTCTCTTTTCCCAGGTAAGAAAAACAAAACACTTCTTAATGTAACTATTTTAGATGGACTGAGAGTTGTGCTGCTAATTTTTTCAAAAGGCTTTATAAACTGTAGAAGCATGCATCTCTTTTTTAAAAATCTATGTGGCCCTGCACAATCTAGTGCATCGTATGCACTACAATGTGATTCTGAACGTGAAATAGTACAGCTTCCAAAAACCAGTTACTGCGTAGCAAAGCCTGAAGAACTCTTGAGAATTAGTCCACAAATGGAGTTTCTTCAGTTTTTTTTTTTCCTGAAACTCTTTCATTGGTCCATCTGCCCTCAGTATAGAATGGCAATGCTTATGGGCAAAAGGAGTTCTTGGGATGTGGAGAGTTAGTTATGTGCTAGTTGGCCGTGCTATTAGTGAAAACAGAACAGGTGTTTTTTTAGTTTCTAAGTTTAATGAAGAGGAATCCAAGCAAAACAATGCCAGTAGTATGTTAAAGTAAAATCTATTTTTCTCAGGAAAGAGCGCCACCCCGCCTCCCCTGCGCAATGTGACTGGAATGCACCAGCTGACAGCGTCCCTCATATTCCTAAAAGTGTGTCGCCCCGCCTAGCGTGTGCATACGTGAGAGGTGCTAGGCAGTCCAGTCTGCCGTGAAGGAATACAGTGTGCTGTGTGTCTGGGAAGAGAGCTGGTTGCTTTGAGGCACCCAGTTTTCAGGACTGACCTGCAGTTGGAAAGGGGATTGATTGTGCCTGCAGATCTCCTGACGTGGGGTCTGTGCCTCCTGCTACTCTGTCTTCTCGGAGGTAGCTTTGTCACGTATTTTGAGACACAAATGTGAAGTTTATCTGTTTGCCTGTTCTTTTCATTGCAGCAGGACGCAAGGCAGATGTGCCAAAGTTGACAACTGAGTTTTCAGAGCGTGCATTTTGTTGCTTTAATGAGGGTGCTATTTAGTGTTTTCTAAGTTTAGGCTTCTATATTTTTATTAGATTAAACATTGTGTATTATGCATCTTCATTGGAAATGTCCTTTGTGCTTACTGTAAGTTGATAGAAAATGGAGTTTTGCACAGTGTCAAATAATATATTTAGGAATATGGTTCAAAAGAATAAGTCATAAATTTGCTAAATTTTTTAGGTTCCTCAGTCTTTACCGCCTAGAAGGTAAAGCTAAAGTCAGAGAATATTAGTCATATGAAGGCAATAAAGTCTATACTCAGGGTGATATCCAAAATCTAAATCTTTCCAGGGGATAGGGTTCATCTGGTAGAAGCTCATATTTAAATGCTGCTTTGTTATTATTGCTTAGGGCTTAACTGATATCCAATGTTTGATATCTCTCTTGCTTAAAGGAGAGGAAGAAGAGTATATGTAGAAAATATATATGTGAAATAGAAATTATTTGGGCGGAGGTTAAGAAAATCCCATTGTGTAAAGTAACCATTCCAAAAAATAATGTAAGTACACTG